TCTGATAGCAGGTGATAAAGCTGCTAATTCTTCTGTACTCAAATCCACTTTAGCATCGAATATCTTCTTTGCTATATCTTCTTCTACACCTGGTCTCGAGACTTCATTCCTAATCTTATAGGCTGGAGTATATCCATGACTATCAATTTGATTCGTCTGGTCTCTTGGTACCTTCGTAGGTGTATTAATTTGAATAGGACGATACGTCCTAGGTTGAACATGATCATATGGTCTATGTTCGCTATTAATTTGATTTGTTGGTCTTGACGAAGGAATTAATTTAATAGCATCTTCGTCATCAGATTCATCAACATCTTCAATCGTGACTGAGGGCTTCTTCAAAGGCCGATTTATGGACTTTGGAGCCTCAAATCTCACTGTTTTCTGATTTCCATTGGTCGTTTCAACCAATTTCCCCGGTATTAAACCTGGTTTCTTGGGTATATGCACCCCATCAAATACTAATCTTTTTGTATTATCATTAAATTGATTTTGTTTTGCTTTCTCACTTTCCTCCGGAGCTACAGCATTGGATCTTAAAGTTCTCATGGACCGATCCTGCTCCTTCATTGGAGTACTTATTTTTTTCCATTTGAACTATCTTGGTTGAACACACGGACATCATCTTCTCGGTGTGCTTCCAAATTCCCAAGTCTATCTGATAGTTCCTCTATTCTTGTCATCCAAACAGCTAGATTGACGTTAGGATTCATCTGCTGATCCATGACTTTATCATCTTCGTCATCTTCCATGTTGGCAAAATAGGATTCAGCATGATCCCATCCCAAGTCTTTCGCCATTTGTTCAATTTTCTTGTAACGAGGTACATTTGAATCGTCTCGAGGCATTCTAGCGTTGTCTCTTAATTTGTAACGCTTCGAGTCACCTCCTTCAGGCATCATCCAACCTCTTTTCGTAAATTCCAGCAAGTGTGGACATTCATTCATAAAATGATCTGTTGACTTGCACAAGAAACATGCCCACTGGGTTCCATTCGAACTTCTCAGTGTCGTATTTCTTTCAAATCTATTAGATTGATTCGAGGGACCACTCGGTGGTATCGAATTAATCATTCCTTTAGCATTTTCTTTAGCCATCTGTGCCATTACTGCTGTTAACTGTGTCATAATGTCTGCTCCTTCTTTGAAGTGCGACTGTAATGACTTCACAGCTCTAATTTCTTTCATGTTTGCCTCCATGAGGTCTTTATTCAATGCAACCATTTGCTGTTGTTCCTCCGTCAATTCCCTTGGAATCAAACTTTCTAATTTAATTCCCAGAAGATCCTTAAATTCGTCTTCTACTTTGGGTTTCAATGCTTGAAGATAGTTCCTATCTGTCTTGGGAACATCTGCAGCAAACGGTAAATTAATGTGTCCCCTACTAAATGAATTAGGGTTATTAATTGGTGGGCTCGAAGAAGCAATGAAAAGTGTTTGATAGTAGTTATCAAAAGAACTCCCAATCATATACTTTTCAGCCGCATTCATTACTTCGTCAATCTTAAAAGGTCTTCCTTTCGTCTATCTGACATAGAAGTAACTGATACATCTTTCACAACTGTTTCTAGCATGCCTCTCCTTACTTCGGGAGTTATAGGTGCCAAGAACAATCTTACTGCATCACTATTTGTGATCATTTTCGGTTCGTCCATCAGCTTTTTCATTTCAGCATCGAAGAGTAGTCTGAAGATTCTCATCTTCTCCTGTTCACCTGCATCAATTGGATTAAATTGATGGACCAATTGTTCAAGCAATAATCTAGATCCTCTTTCGTCTCCTACAGATTGCGGAAACATATTCTTTAGATCCTTTTTAAATTGATCCCAATTTGGTTTCTTCACCGAATCAAAGACTCTTAATGCTTGTCTCGTTTTATAAGATGTCCATTCTAAAGCTAATCTCACTTTAGCCTCGTCAGATGTAATTCCTCCATGTTCAAATATGCTTTCAGTAGCTTCGAACCATGGTATCATTTGACTTGGATCAGTTATATCAAATAATGGTGCTGTCTTATATTTTCTTGGAAGTTTCGCACTGGCTTTATCAATCTCAGCCTTAGCTTCAGCTGACAACGCAGGCATTCCATAATTATTGGTAGTCATTTTGACTGGTTCAATCGTATTACTTGCTTGAGAGATAGTCTGATGTAACGTATCTATCAATCTAGTTGATTCAATCGACGTAGAAGATGTTGAAATTGACTCTGGAGCAATCAATTCAATTATATCTTCTTCAATATCAATCGGATTAATTTCTTTTCTCTTCCTTTTCGGATCGAGACTAGATTTCTTCAAATTCCTCGGCAAAGATGTAAGTCTTCCTCGAGATATAGATGATCCTGTTCCTCTAGAAACAGAACTTCCACGCGATTCTTCTGTCGGTATTTGAGAAGAGGATGGACGACTGGATTCGTTCATAGGGTTTAATAGGGATGTTCGAGCTGATGTGCCGAACGTAGATCTCCCAAATATAACTCCTGCTTTACGATATTCTTCCAGTGTCAATACTCCTGCTTTCTCCGAATTCTTTGAAGTACGCGGTTTTCCTGATGAACTAATGTTGACAGTTCACAGAAATGGTATCACAAAGATCAACACACTTCTACCAAATAATCGAATATAATCCAAACAAATGTTCAATTTAATTTATCAAGCTAATTGTAGCTTCAAAACCACCCCTCGCGGTGGGCTCCAGATAATGAGCTTGCCTCATTTTTGTGTGAAAGAGAAAGGAAGGAATCTAATGGGCACTCCAACCAACCAATCTAATACACAATATGCGAGTTCACTGCTATCAAATTTATTTAATAGCAAGGGGTAGCATTGGCAAAGGTTCCGCAAAGCTTTGAGAGCTAAGTAAGAAGCTTTGATCAATCAATTTGAATCGTTCTAAGGATTCGATATATTCCTTTGATCAAGGTAGATTTAGCACAATTTGTGCTGTGGTTTGTATTGATTTGGGTATATCAAGAATTGGGGGTTTGAATCAAAGTAAATTAAAACCGAAACACACAGACCCCTCGGAGGGCTAGAACTATGTGCTGGCACAACCACACAGCGTGATTTGCCCTTAAGACCAATGACTGATCCTAAGTTCGAAGAATACCCAACAACTGGATAGACTTCTTGCAGTCACAAGGAGCAGAACACGACGTTCCTATACTCACAAGTGCCAGGCCCGAATGGCTGCTAGTGAAGAGGTTTCAGTCTGGCGGGAGTGTGTCTTTCCTTTTTACGGATTAGCACTGCAACGTCGTCCCAAAATCACTTGTATTCCAGATACATCGGATCGCTATTTATACATACAGAATATAGAGTCACATAGTACAATTAATTTAATACAATCAACGTTCGGAACCGCAAGGAAACTTCTACACTCAGTCAGATACCATTTAATTTGAATCTACATGTCCTTATTTGGTCCATATTGGTTCCAAGATTCTAGTATACCTCCAAACATAGGTAGGTACTTCAATATTCATTTAATTTAATTGTTTTGGAGGATGACTCGAATGGTGTTCAACTGTCATTGCGGTCCAACACTTACTTCGATCGTTTGTCACCTCGTCCGGAGGCAAATCAGCTCTCCTCGATTCTAATCCTATCAATCTGATTCATCTGGATTAAACTAATTGCTTCTCTCTTTCAATAGACACCCATTGTGCCTATACTCTATCAAGGGAGTTACGCATAGTATTCATTTAATTGTATTCTTCAATATTTTCTACGTCAGGACTCTTTGACATTCATTTGATATGCCTTCGGAGCCTCGCAGTACTTCGATCATTCTTCTAGTCATTTTACTCAACCATGCAACTTGATTGGTCTATTAGACTAAATCGCAGTCTTTTAGATTAATGCATGATCTCGTTCTAGAAGGAGTATTTGATAATTCCTGAGTTCTAGAAAGTCATTTCGAGTCAATCCTTGGTTCATGGTCACTTGAGTAAGTTCTTCCAAACTCCTGCCAGTGTAAGGTCCAATAAGAATACTCTTGGTATGTCATACGTGAATGGTCATCCTTCGGATGTAGTCCGAGTCTGGTATAATCCTGCTTGACAAACAGGTAGACTGCTATCCGTAGGTAGTATCGGGGATGGGTAAACTAACCAACTTGTGGTAGTATGGGTATATGGTCCCTTCAACTTATTAGACTGATTCAGTATCGACTTTGACTGTCAATCTGGGTCTCAATTACAGTCCTCTTGATACAAATCTATACGTGAAAATGTCACAATTCACAGCATAGACGTCTAGCCAAAATTTAGGCGTGTCAGCGACCTGCCTGAATACGTTTGGAATAGACCAAGCTACGATGAGGAGAAAAGACAGCTACTAGCTGATGGCTGGGAGGAGGCTGAGGTCGACCATGCTGTCAAGGAACGTAATCACTTTCGTGAATATGTACGGCGCCATATAAGGAACCAGAAGTACTATTCAAAGTGTGTTCGTTTCTTTTTATGAAAGTTGAACAGTTTTCATATATCTATTCACCTAGAAACTTTGCAACACTCCGCTTGAAGTCCCAAATCTACAATGAAAAGTAAGAATCTGGCTGATATGCTTCCTAATGAAATTCCATTAACAACAACAGGCGATCCCACCAGCTACACAATGCCGCTCCCGATGTCAAAGCAGCTGCTAAAGACCGCCATCGAAAATCACAGGAAAAATACCGCATCAAAAATCATGAAAAGTTGGCTTTCAAAGAGCGAGAACGCCGGGAGGTTCAACATGCTTGGCATGTACTCAATTCAGAACTTGAAACCGAAGGAGCTCCTGGTGTAATTGAGGAGGAATGAGGATAGTTCACATCCTTCTTTTGGTGACTACTGCATCGTAATTATAGTAGAGGACTACCTACTGTAACCTCAATGGTATCAATGGAAAGATTTTGCTTAACAGAATATCACAGAATAAATGACATTGTATTCAACAAAAAATTTCGAGATTAAGCAATATACAGGACAATGGACAACAAAAAAGTTCGAGTAAAAAATCATAGTCCCGCAATGAAGTCTACGACCTTCCCCATATCATCAACAAACTCATTGTCGTCTTCCAAAGGTCCCTCATCCTCTGAATTATCATCTTCAAACTGCGGTTGTCGATCATCAGGTGTAGAATGTGGAACATTAGAACTACCGGCATTGTGACCAGGCAATGTAGGCGGGGAGGTATCGGGTTCATGCATCTCGGATGCCGATGGGGTGTGCGGATATGTGGCGTGGACAGGGTTGATGCTCTCACCAGGATATGGAGTCCCTGTGAAACCTGGAAGGTTGTACGTTGCATTGATGTGAGAAATTAGTAATTTATTGACCTCCCGACGGCGGGTCACATATTCGAGCACCGGTCCTAACATCAGTGACCCCCTGAGATGTTCCAAAGTACTGGCAAAAAGTTTCTCTTCATCAACAATCCGGGTGTGAAGGCGCCGGAGCTCGATGTTAACGCGGTGGATCTCCTCCCGGGCCCTACTCACCTTATGAACATGGTTCATAAGTTCACGGTACAAGGGCTGCGCCCATTTCTCGTGGAAAACGTTGTGCCGCGTGTCTCATAAGATGTCAAACTGATCAATGAAAGAAAAGTGGGTAACTTTTGTCCAATCCAATGTGTCGCGAGGGGGATCTAGCATCAACGCATGCTTATTGTATTCGTTGACAGCATTTCGAATAGCTTTCGCTCGACGTTGAAGTGCTTGAGCAATATGAGTTCTCATTTTGTAGCCTAACATGATGGCGAGATAGATCAGAATCCAATATAGAGATTGGCAAATGAAAACTCACCTGTTCCCGACATGTTAAGCTTGTGCATCTCGAACAGCTGTTTGATAACAAGAAGATGCAGGTTCTCCAGAGCTTGTAGGTATTTGCGTTCAGTCATATACTTGAGGGCCGCCTTGTACTCAGAGTCCAGAGGGGTCCACCGCCGCCGTACATCCATCTGACTCTCCATCTGGAGGATCTCCCACAAGACATTGTCTCGCTTCTCTCCAAGAAAGCGACGACAAGTTTCAGTTTTACGAGTTTTGGATAGCCCCGAGGAGTATGAGGAATGGGGTGGTAGCTGCTCAAAATCTTCGGGCTCTTGAATGCGGAATGCTGTATAAGATTGTTCCAAGGCTGCTCTAGAGAAAGACCCGTAAGCAAAAGATTTAGATACATGAGGATGACTGACTCAATATCTCGCAGTTGTTGTAGCAGTTCAACATACGCAACACCATTGACCTCCTCCACACGTTCTTTTCCCAGCTCCTTGAAATGTCCAGCTTGGTCCACCCACATTGCCTCTAAATCAGATTCCGTCAGGTTGAATTGTTCAAGGTCATGCGCCAGTTCCGCAGCCTCAGTTTCAAGAATGTGGAGGGCTTGGATGTAATTGTTGAAAAGCATGGTCCCAAGATTCGCATACTTATCAGAATCCCATTGCCGAAAGAAAAGGTCGATGAAGACTTTGCGGTGGTAGCGGCTCATATATCGCGTGACTGCAGCCAGTTGATTTGACTGTGAAAAGATTCGTTCGAGAGTTTCGAGGTCTTCGAGACCCATCCCCTTGATGTGTGTCAGGTGAAAAGATTGTTGACAGAGAGCGTTGTGGCTGTAGCCGTGGAATGCGTTGACACAAGTGCAGCATTTCTTCTTCTGAAAGGCTTCATTCAGGGAGGTCTTTGCTATAGTTTCCGAAAAGCTGCACCCAATATCGTAACCAATGAGCAGATTTTTGCCAAACACTTCTAATGCTTTCGCAGTGATGGCAAGCGGGTATTTTGCTCTGCAAGAAAACTCAGTTAGTGGTGAGCAAAACGTGGGATCGTTGAACGGAACTCACAGTTCACCACTCCGAATCATATCCGTTAGCCAAATGATAAAGCCGTGCCGACACGCGCTGGTGAATATCCCCGTCTCATGGAATCCATCCCACATCTTCTTTGCAGCATCGCCAGCGGCAGCCTTCCAGTTAGAAGTGCATTTCTGAAGCGGGGAGGTCTCTGACATCGATGTCTGACCGTCAGTTGGATCTCCTCCTTGCTCTAACCCTGGTTCTTCGGCGTCTTCGTCTTCTGTTTGAGTACGCCCTCGAGGAACCTCGTTACCGAATTGATTGACATACTCCTCAGGGAGGAAGTAGTCGCTGTCTTGGTATACGCGATCATCGGCCACTTGTCGATTGCCAGCACCCTGCATACGTTTGAGCGAATTATTGCCATCTAATACAAACATTCGGGAAAATTTCAATGGCGGCTCATCTTTCAGCTGCAGAATATGTTAGCTCCAGTTGCAACATCTTACGATTTCCAGGGGGCTCACCTCATAGTTGCATGGAGGGCAGCTGCTCAAAACGCGGTAGTTTTGGGTGTCTTGACCGAGTTCATGAGCGACTCTGGAGTCGAGGTGACGCCGAATGATAATGTAAGTGTCAAAGGCATCCGAGATTGCACTACGGTAACCCCGACGATAAGTCACCTGTGGTATATATGAGTTTTTTTTGTGAACACGATGGTATAATGAGCTCACTGAATGAACATGGCAAACAACCTTGGTGAAGGCCTCGATACTAAATGACGGCCTGAACATATGTATTGTGTAAAATAACTCAAGCGTCCGGAGTGAAATCGCTAGGGATGGCCTCTGAGGTGTGCAGCCTAGGTATCCTGCGCGTACCAAAGCGACAGCACCTTCATCGTCCTCGCCACACGGAATGACTGCAATGTGAGCCAAATCGTGGATGTCAAGAATGTTGATGTCAAAATCTCTTCCATCAACAAGAGGAGAGGCATCTGGGTCGGTGTATGTAACAATATGGGGTGGCGGGGAATACTTCCAGGTGGTGTAGGCATCTATGAGAGCAGGAATGAGCGGCTGCCAGTTTTTGTTCAGCCGGCGAATGCGATGTTTCCAAGTTCTTCCATCTAGCCTTTGGCGATACTGACCAGTTCGGTATCGGTGAAAATTTCTGTGAAACAATGGGTTGGTGCTCAATGGAGGGCGACACTCAATGTGCATACCTATTAGCAACGAATACTGCCATGTCTTCCTGTATACGTAGTGATTCCTGTATTCCTTGACCTTGCAGCTCTTCCTCAACGTTGCCGTCACTTTCATTCCCACTCCCTGCATGTTCCTCATCAATGTACATGTTGTCTGTGTCTCCGTAGTCCTCCTGCAATGCTGAAAGACCAGTAAGATCTTGAAGAGCTCGAAGTGAATGCGGTCCCAGTCCTAGAAGATGGGTCGACAATGCACCGGATATGAATGTGGCAACGACGTACCTTCTGCTGCACGAGATATCCGGTTTCGAATTTCATTCCTTTTGTCCGCTAGAGCCTTTGGTCCAACCCGTGAGATTGTAATGCCTCCACCAGATCTTCCCCACCCTACATAAGACTTCACACTTGACTTTCCCTTGGCCATGGTTTTATGGTTTCACAACGTAGCTTCGGGGTGATTGTCGTCCCGGGGTAAGTAATATTTTCACTGTGAGGTGTGGGGTCGGTGCGTGGACTGTAGAGGTCGGCGTGGGTGGTTGGGTGGTGAAGAGCATGCAGAGGGAAATGAGCACAACGACAGAGACGTAACGAAGACAATCGAGTTGCGGGAGCGTCGTTAAATCATGCTGGAAAATGACATTGTGAGATAGGCGCTGGTGAGAGAGATGTTCCCACAGTTGAAGAGAAGGGAAATGAGAAAGCGCTGGTGAGGAGTGACGTGAGTGTCGGTGGGTGTTTTAAGCGCCAGCGGGAGCGGCATTCTCACAGGCAGGACTGGGCGGCATTCGGGATTTGTCGGATAACTTCGGGCTCAGACCTGTCGGGCTCAGACTCTACAATGAAATCAAGTGACTGGTCTATTAGTGTGGCTGGACTCCTTCCTATAATAGTTATAGCTAACAATATTGACCTATTTAATGGCAATGTAAGGAAATTGAGATATTTGATTGATAGATCAATGCCATAACCACCCCTGCTTGGCATTTATATATAAGTCAGGAGGTGTGATGACGAGGTGACGTCGAGGATCTACTCAAACAATATGGACTAATTGAATGTATAACTCATGACCTTCCCCTCCGATATAAATTTGATGGTCCCAATCCGAATCCTTCACTATATGCTGATGTTGATGCAGAATCCCTCACAAAGATCTATCAAGCCCTCATTGGCTGTCTCCTATTCCTAGCTCTCTGTACTCGGCCCGACATTGCATACACTGTCATGTTTTTGGCTCAATTCAATTCCAAGCCTTCTCCAAGACACCTCGTTGCAGCAAAAGAAACACTTCGATACCTTGCAAAAATGCGATCCTGGTCCCTTCAGTATGGGGGTGATTATAAACAAGACTTAATCAACACTCTCGGCCTCAAATCTGGCACAATGGCTCTTTCTGATGCCGATTGGGGGAGCAATTCTTTAGACCAAAAATCAATATCAGGCTTTGGGATCTTTCTCTTCCGAGGTTTGGTTGCTTGGTCGGCTTCGAAACAGAAAAGCATTGCATTATCTTCAACAGAAGCAAAGTATATGGGTTTAACACATGTTCTCAAGGAATTACTGTGGATCCGGGTATTTACTTCATTAGTCTCACTTCCCATTCCCAATCCTTTTCCATTAATATCTGACAACTGCTCTTCAATCGATATTGCTAATTCTCGTTCTGTTAAGATCATGTACACCGTGTAACCGTGCCAAGGCCACAGGGTGTCTAAGTGCGGAAGACGAATGGGACAGTAGTGAAGTTATTAACAACACCGCCGTTACGCCGTTAGTCCCCGGAGAGCGAGAGTAGAGAGAGAGGAGCTAAGTAGCAGCCAGGTCGGAGCGGCGGTATCGCCGATGACGAGGAGCGGACCAGAGAACGTCAAAGTCCTAAGGTCGAGGAGAACGTACTTCGAGGCGTTGAGCCTGAAGACTTAGAGAAGAGTTAAGTTGAGGAGGGAGATCTAAGTTGATCTAAGTTGATAATTAAACTGAGGAACTACAGTAGCGTACAGGCAGTATTTATATCTACGGAACGGCGCATCGGTGCGGAGCGCTAGACTAACTACTAGGAGCTATACGAGTAGTACCTGCAGGGTAGAGTAAAAGACAATAAGGAGCGACTAGAACGAAAGGGTAAAAGACAATAGTGAGAGACTAGAACGAAAGGGTATGTGTAGCGAGAAAGAACAATAAGAGGCAGACTACAATAAGAGCAGATCTTCGGAATACCGAGCGGCGGAATGGAGGCCCGCGGCATGGACTTGACAGTATCCCCCTCTTAGGCTTGAGCCCTCGAAAGCCATTAATACCGGGAGTTGGTTAGTCACCAAAGACAAATTTTAAAGGCCGTCAGCATCGGGGATTTGGCCCATCAGTCAGCAGGAAAATTTCCGAAAGCCGTTGGTACCGGGAATTGGCGTTAGTCATCAGTGAAAATTTTCGGTTCACCGTACACCAAGTACAATTCGAAGGAAAATTTTCGCTGGTCCGTGCGCAGTTTTGCCGTATAAAAGGCCCAGAATTTCGCCGGTAAAACCCAAGTTCCCCAAACTTCCAAGTCCAAAAAATGTCCACTAGCCGCACTACCACTACCACCGTTTCTTCCACCGCCGGGCCTTCGAGGCCACGACCCGCCCCTCCGCCGCCCATCGACCTTACCGCCCACGACGAGGAAGGATTGGAGGACGAAGATGAGGAGGAGATTATTCGGAGGGCGCAGGCCAGGGTTGAAAGAGTGAGAGCAAGAAAGGCAGCGGCGGCGGCGAAGAAGGCCGCAGAGGAGAAAGCTGCAAGGGCAGCAGCAGCGAGGGAGCGTGCGGCGCAAGAGGCGCGAGAGCGAGCTAATCGGGCTCGTCAACAGGAAGCCGAAGTTTTGGAGCGGAGGAGACTTTTGGCCGAGGCGGCGACCGCCAGAAGTCAACGAGGGACTTCTCCAAGTGAGATGTCCGCTTCTCCTCGGAGGCCGGTGGTAGAGATTCGGCGGAAGTTGACGAACAAGGGAAAGGGAAAGGCCAAGGCTCAGGTAAGTCCTTTGAGTTTCGTCGGGACTAAATTCCCTATTCACCATTCTTCGATAGCCGGTCGGCGGAGATCCGGACGACGGGGACGACGGGGACGATGACGATGACGATGAAGACGACCGAGCACCATGCGAACGGTGCAAGAACAAAAAACTCCCTTGCCAGATGCAGGCAGGCAAGAGGAGTTCCATCATATGTAAGCCCTGTCACGACGCCAAGGTGAGGTGTTCATACTCGGGACGCCCCACTACCTCGAAACAGCGGGAGAGCGGATCTGGCGAGCGTATCGCCATCATGGAGAGTCAGATGGCACAGAGTCTCGCCGACCTCCGGGCGTTACGAGAGGCGGAAACAAAGACCCACCAGTACCTCCGCCAGCTGCTAAGGAAGCAAGAAGACGACCACGCCCGTCTGATAGCCATTGAGACGAGAATGGCAATGATGGGTATGGGAGGAGAACCGGCGATGGCAGGACCGTCGAGGGAAACTGCCGAGCGGCGGCGCCCGCTAAAGCGGCGGAGGGTTGTGAGGGAGAGTGACGAGGAAGAGGAGGAGGAAAAGGAGGTGCAGCAAGGTATGGAGGAAGATGGAGAAGGAGAGGTAGAGGAACAAGGAGGAGAGGTGGAGGTAGAAGGAGGAGAGGAAGGGGAGGCACCGGCGCCGACGGCGGCGAAGGCGGTGACCTCTGACAAGGGGAAGGAGAAGGAGTTAGTGGAGTAGAGTCACGGACATCGGACATCGGCCTCTCGGCCTTCTTGTACTTCTTGTAATCTTCTTGTTGCCTTGCCTTCGTTGTATGCTTTTGTTTTTTGGACTTTTTGTATATATATAAAATGTGAACTCGATTTTGGAATCGGAAAGCGAATGGGCCGCGACGCGGCGTTAGAAATAATTAGTTTTGAAGTATAAGTAGTTTAAGTTTGAAAGAATTATAAGTGAAATAGTGGATAGAAGAATGAGATTAATCATTAAGAGAGAGGGATAAACACTCAATTTACTATCATCGTGTTTACCCTCTAAACGCACAAAGTAAACTTCGGCGGAGCGCGGCGGAAAACGGGGAAAAGGAATAAAATGATTTTGTGTGATCAAGGTCCCGGTTTCATAGGGTATCGAGCGTGAAATGCGGGTACCAGTTCATCAGCATGTAGTTCATCAGCAGCAACCCAGGAGAATTCATCATCGGTACCTTCATAACCGGCCCACCGAATATAGTAACGTAGAGGACAACGTTTATACCTTCTGTCCAACTTAGAGTCCAGGATTTCGGCAACGTTGTACTCCTCTTCACCATCAACTTCAATTGGAGGTGGAGGAGATTGAGTACGATTCGGGAATGGATTCGGCGTAACCGGCTCCAGCTGTGAGACGTGGAATACCGGGTGAATTCGGCGAAGATAGTCTGGGAGCTTGAGCTCATAAGACAAAGTACCAGGTCGACTGATGACCTTGAAAGGACCAAGATATTTTTCTGAGAATTTTTCAGTAGGACGAGTAGAACGAATGTGCTTAGCAAGAACAAATACTTCGGAGCCGATCGGGAACTCCGGGTGCGAGATTCTTTTCCTGTCAGCTTGTTCCTTGTAACGAGATTGGGCTAAAAGGATTTCTTCTCGAAGGAAAACGTGGAGTTCATCAAGGTTGACGACGAAGTCTCTAGCTAGGTCAGACTTCATATCGACCTCGGGCCGAACGGTGATGTTTGGGTGGTATCCTTTGTTAGCGAAGAATGGAGTAATACCAGTGGAAGCATTGGGAGCGTTGTTATAGGCGAACTCGGCGATCGGAAGCAAAGGCGACCAGTCGTCTTGTTGGTAGGAACAATAAATCCTGATGTACTGTTCGAGAGTCTGATTGACACGCTCAGTTTGCCCATCGGCTTCCGGATGGTATCCAGAGGTATAGTGAAGTTCCATGGAGAGCGCTTTACCGAGAGCCCGGAAGAACGCCGAAACAAATTCGGAACCACGATCGGAAGTAACATGATTAGGGACACCATGCTTAGAGAAGACGTGAATAACAAAAAGCTCAGCTAGTTGTTCGGAAGTAATGGTGTCGTGAGTTGGAATAAATATAGCTTGTTTGGAAGATCGATCCACGACGACGAGGATAGCTGTATAACCATTCGACATTGGCAGTTG